TGTGATGTCACAGCTCACAGCAACCTCTAACTCTTGGGCTTAAGCGATTCTCTTGCCTCAGCCTCCCAAGTAGCTGGGACTACAGGCACCTGCCACGACGCCCGGCTATTTTTTGGTTGTAGTTGTCATTGCTGTTTAGTAGTCCCTGGCTGGGTTCAAACCTGCCTGCCTTGGCCGGAACCCTAACTGCTGAGTTGTGGGCGCCATGCCAGTACTTTAAATGAATGATATTATTTAATCTAACAACAACATTATGATTGCTAAGTATTATTATTGTAGGTAGATACTCTTTATTATTCCCATTTTATAATAAAGGAGCTTGAAGAAATTAAAAGAAAGTACCCAAAGTTCCTGAGCTAGTGACAGGCCCCAGTTCTTTCTGAGTCTAAGCCTAAGGTCTAATTGCAATGTAACTTTTTAACAGAACTAACATATTATGCATCTATCTTACTGATATAATTAATACCACTGAATGTTGGCTCAATTACAGTTTTAATTATATTCATTGACCACTGACCACAAAGGCCAGTCTCTAATCCCAGGGATTCTATAATAAACCTCATTTTGTGAGCAGAAAAGAAGAAAGAAAACTTATTTAAAGATATAAAATAGCTATAATATTTAACTCAGCTGTGCAGCCAACAAATAAACCAAAACCCAAACCAAAAAATTCTTTCCCGAATCTAAATGAGATGTTGCAAAATGCATGCATGGGCTTCCAAAAATATATATTTAAATTAGCAGTCACATTATTAGGCTGGCTGGTTGGTTGATTTAGCAAGAACTCATTGAGCAATGGCCATGTGGCAGGCTGTTGCGGGGACCAGGGAGGACGCATGGGATGAGGGCAATGAGGATTGTGCCTCAGTGGTACTTCAGGGCTCCCCACTCTTTTGGTGAGAGGACCTATTATAAATGTACCTGAAGTACTGAAAGAGGGACAATTTAATTCACAGTAAGGTGTGATGGGCACAGACTTAAACCCAGTTTTTTGTGAGTCTAAGTTTAATGGCAATGTAGTATTTTTAATAAAACAAATAGATTATTAGTTGAGGTTAGATGGAACTGGGAAGGAAAATGGGTATAAAGCTGATTCTCTGGCTCCCCAGCCCACTGGGGCAAGCTCCACAGCCTTTCACTTCACTGGCAGTGCCCATAGGGATAAGAGTGAGAGTCTGAGGCTGCACTTGTGCCTGAAGGTTACCAGGCCAGCCTTGCTATTCAACCAGATGACAGTCTGGCTAGTGCAGGTGTTGCACTGAACTTGTCTTCCTTTCCTCCCTCCCTCACTCCTTCCCTTCCTCTCTCCCTCCTTCCCTCTCTTCTTTCCTTCCATTTTGAGACAGAGTCTCACTTTGTTACCCAGGCTAGAGTGCAGTGGCATCAACCTACCTCACAGCAACCTTAAATTCCTGGGCTCAAGTGATCCTCCTGCCTCTGTCTCCTAAGTACCGGGTCTGTAGGGGCCCACCACAATGCCTGGCTAATTTTTCTATTTTTAGTAGAGACAGGGTCTCTCCTCTTGCTCAGGTTGGTCTGGAGCTCCTGAGCTCAAGGAATCCTTCTGCCTCAGCCTCTGGTGCTAGGATTACAGGGCATGAGCCCCCATACCGGCCCTATTTCCCTTTTCAGTCAAGATTCTGTAAACCTTTTCTTAGCTCTCTCAAAGTGAAGACTCTTGGGCAGTAGGAGTCCTTGCACTGGTTGATACTGCTGAAGTCATTACCGGAAAATACTTGAGAAAGACTCTTGATTGTCGTCATCAAGCAGAACGATATTCATAAGAAAAAAACTGTAGGCTTTTTTTTCTTCTTTTTTTGTGCATGCTTAGTTCTAAGATCCTAAGACAACTTCACCAAAGCGCAAGACCTAATAAGACTTAACGCTTACAACATGTTTTCTTTGGAAAACGCTTCTGCGTATTTTGGCATTAGTCACGAGTTCAGATATGTGACATTCCACCACCCTTTTTCCTGGAGCCAGTTTGAGAAACAAAGTATTTATGGCATTAAAAGTGGGAAATACCTTTCTCTTCCTGGCAGTATGGTCAAACTGAACATTTCATTTTGCAATGCTGGAGAAAGATGTGGGTTTTTTGGTTTTTTCCTGGGATCCTCTAGCAGAATGCTTGAATATGAAATAATAACCTATTTCACGCCAGAATAGTATTTGGATTACGTGATTTTTAGCAAGTGCAAATTTTTTTTTTTTTTTTTTTTTTGGCAAAGTGCAAAACTGGCTTTGGTGTTTATAGTTATAAACTCCCTTCTGATCAACCTGCATGTACCATTCTGTACAGTTTTGCAAGGTGAGGTTTGATAATGAACATGGCTGTGAAGTCACCTGTGTAATCTTTTGACAAGCTTGCCCAGCTTCTCCTGCTTAAAGAGACAGTAAGATAGAATTAGTCAAAGTCACCTGGGCAGATCTCCTTGACATTAGACCTTGATCACGTGGCTACTGCATAACCAAAGATGATTTCCAATCCCTGCAGTGATGCTTACTCATGCAGACACTGGTCACCCCTGTGTGATCTCTCTTTCCTATTCTCCCCCTAAACATTTCTATCCAGAGCATTCTATTGTCATCATGTGATACATGTACAGGGAGAACACGGCATATATTGAATCAGTTGTTTTTCAGCTACAAGGTACAGAGAAAGGGTAAACAGTGGATGCAAATAATGAATTAGAATTGCTTTTAAGAGTGTGCTCCTTTTTATTTTATTTTTATTATTATTATTTTTGTTTTGGAGACAGAGTCTCACCATGTCACCCTCAATAGAGTGCTGTGGCGACACAGCTCACAGCAACCTCTAACTCTTGGGCTTAAGTGATTCTCTTGCCTCAGCCTCCCAAGTAGCTGGGACTATAGGCGCCCGCCACAACGCCTGGCTGTATTGGTTGCAGTTGTCATTATTGTTTAGCAGTCCTGGGCTGGGTTCAAACCTGCTAGCTCTGGGGTATGTGGCTGGCACCCTAACCACTAAGTGTGGGTGCTGAGCCGTGTGCTCTTTTTTATAAAGTTCTTGGCTCGGCGCCTATAGCTCAACCGGCTAAGGCGCCAGCCACCTACACCTAAGGTGGCGGGTTCGAATCCCCAGCCCG